AAAGGACAAAAGGAACTGGTTGGTGATAGGAAGCTGATGGAGAACTTCAAGGATCTCTGCACCATTTACCACCTGTGTAAAAGAGAGGGAGAGAGTGAGTGAGAGAGAGAGAGAGAGACAGAGAGAGAGAGAGAGAGAGAGAGAGAGAGAGAGATCACATTTCATTCAACTCCTAAACAATAAGAACATTCAGAACAGAAACTGCTCTTACTAAAAGGTTTGTGGTATAAATGGCAAACATGTACATGCAAAAGGCTTTTCACTTGAAATTGGTGTTCACTTCCTATGCATACACTTGAGTTCTCAGTAACATGACTAATTATTTTTCAAGATTGAAATTTTTGCTTGTGTGTTCTGCTGCCTAACACTATAGCATGATTGGTTCTGGTTACAAGTGCATCTGATTGGTTGAATGGGAGGGGTAAGTTGATTTGACCAATCATAAAGCAAAGAAAAGCAGAAACCAATGCAATCTTGGATTATTTTTGTAATCAAATGAAAGTAGCTCTCTCTCCCACCTTTGTTCTGAGATCAACTCGTTCTAGTGCAATCATACTTGCAAGAACAGTATAGGTGACAAAAGTTCTGTAGTCCATCAGTTCATATGAAGTAAATGTGGAAATACTATCCAAGAAATTACTGGCTGCAGACTTGAAATCCCGGATGGATAGAAAATAAATTCCTTGGTACACTTTAAGCCTGTTACGGCGATCCCAATCTCCTCCCTCTTCTATTAACCTGTTCAAATAATAATAATGATAATGATAATAATAATAAGCAAGTAAGTAAGACGTGCTATGTTGGCAAGTAAGTAAGGCGTGCTATGTCGACTCAAGTGGAAGTTCAGGATTTACTGAAAGCCAGCTGAGTTTGGAGCGCCACTACACATCTAGAGAGTTAAAGGCCTTGTGTACTGTCTTTCGGACTACTTTGTGGTTTCTTGGGAGACGATTTGGTGCCTCTAAACGAGTGAATGTTGCCTTCGTTTTAATTTGGATTATTTTAACAAGTTCGGTTAGTAGCCTTTATCTTGGTTATGATGAGTATGGAAGGCGAGAGCCCAAAGCGATCAAAAGGAAGGACCTGTGGATTAGAAACTTAGGAAGTTATCATCACCAATTAACTCTTTCATAGCCGAAATAAATAGGTTTTTAAAGATTTTATAATGACTATTTTAGATTAGGATACCCGAAATACCTATTGTTTTTTTTTATTTGTCAAGGGTTTTTTTTTTCACTATAGTTAACAGGCTATGCTCATGTGTCCCATCATACTATTCTTACTGTATATAGCATACAAAAGTTTAAACTGCTGCATAATAATAATAACAATAATAATTAACTGTAATGATCATCATAATTGTAAAAATAATAATAATAATAGGAAGCAGAAACACCCAAACCTTATCAAAGACAGGAAAGGTACCAGGCAATAGGTTGAGAAAAACCAACTAGATTAATTAGATCACGTCACTCAAATGAATTAGAGGAGAGGTACTACAATACCACCTTTAATTTTACTGTCGCAATCTATGCTATCAACCCTTCACATCCTTAACATCAGTATGCATATTCTCCATACTGTTCTCTATACATTTCCTGTGGTGCTGACAAGGAGAATTTGTTTTACAATCAAGAGCTTCAATAGTCAAGAGCTTCTTCAGTTTTTGATCAATTCCCTAATTCTCATGACTTAAATGTACGATTTAAGAGTGATATGTTAAGGAGAAATCAGATGCTTGTCGCTCTTCGGGGTTAAAGAGTTACCTGTATGCATGGAACAGGCTATGGTATTCCTGGCCAATAATCCCTTTTAACAATTGTGCCTAGAAACATTTTTAGCACTTACATTTTTGCCTTGTCTATACTCCTGGTGATCAAATCATTATCCAAGTAGAACAGTCCGATGCGTATCTGGTAGAAAATTATGTCCAATTTGTATCCAAGTGCAACAGCTTTGTCATAAGCCAAACGGAAAACACTCAAAGCCTTTTCCTGTAAGTATAAATTAAGTAATGCATAATTAATAGTCGATTTTCCCTTAAGTACACTCAAACACACATAGATGTCTTGAAAAAGGATAACTTACTTAAAATGGGTAAAGGAATATCAAGGACCTTGTAATAAACCACAAGTTATACAACCTACTTCCAGCTTTCAACATGAACACAAGATACCCATTAAGAAATACCAGATTCTTCGTTGAACCCACTATCGTACTGATTGCTTTAAAAAATCCTTCATCGTGGCTTCAATTAGAAATTTGTAATTTTTTTTGATATTTCATAGCATTACTAGTGTAATTCAGTCTAACAACTGTGATATCAGATTTTCAATAAACTATCATTATAAATATTATTTTCTAATTTAAAAACATTAATTAATAAACTCTTTTACACCCTAACATCAGAATTCATATTCTCTTCATTGTTCTCTATACATTTCCTAAATTGCTGTCCCCGCGGAAGGGGGAGGGGTACTCAATATATTCCTGGGTGGGGAGGTGAGGGACAGCCTCTCATATCCTGACCCTGTTTAAGACAATATTGCTCATTTTCCTACCCTGTTTAAGACAGAATTCCGATTTTTGATACCCTGTTCATGACATCTAATGTGCCTGGTATCAATGCCAAAATCAACGAAATTCAATATTAATTAAAATCAGAGCTTGTAAAAATTTTGCTGTTTATCTTCCAAGAAAAGATATCCTGTTTAAGAAAAAAATTGATTAATCGATACCCTGATTAAGACAAAAAATGATAAATTCGATACCCTGTTTCAGACAAAAATCTCAAAAAACATACCCTGGATGGCCGCACATCCCCATTAAGCCCTTATAAGGGAGTACCCCCCCNTGCTGTCAAGGAGAATTTGTTTCACAACCAAGAAATTTTCTAGTTGGTGATCATTTTCTTTATTCTCCTGACCAAAATGTTTGATTCAGAAGTCATATTGTAAGAAGAAATTAGATGCTGGTCATTGTTTGGATTGAAAGGGTAAAGTATTACTGTTATTATTGTCATTGACACTGCATCATTCAAATATTTACAAGGTAACTTTTTAGTATGGGTAATCACATGAATTCGAGTGCAATTTGGAATAAATAAGCATGAGTAAATTTTTTCAAAGACTAACAAAATTGCATGAGCCCATAGGGCGAATGCAATTTGGTCTTTGAAAAAATTTACAAGTGCTTATTTATTCCAAATTGCACAAGAAAATCATGTGATTATGTATTAATAATAAACATGAAAAAATACAAGGTAGCTTCTTATAGCTAAACAGAAGAAAAGCGCGCGCACCAGGTGCAAAAATAATTTATGCAAACCTTGCAAGTGACATTGACCTTGACATTAACCTTGACATTGACCTTGACCAATCATTATGACCAATCAGAATGTCTGGTTTGTTTCTATCTTTGCACTGAATTAACCCTCTTCTGCACTGAATTAACTCTCTTCTGCACTGAATTAACTGAAAAATGTATCCATCTTAATCAATCAGAACTGAGAAATGTTTTCATGTATGTTATTAATAACATAATGAGACATTTCAGCACTCTAAAGACAAGAAAAACATGAGTTGAAGACCTCCTCTCATACTTTTACCTTATCGCCAATCTTACAAAGATATTCTGCCTTGGCATACAAAGCATCTCTGATTTCTGTTTCTCCCAAGTTTTCCTCTGCATCTTTCAGTGTCTCATCCAGCTTCTTAACTGTTTCCTCATTATTAGTGTGCATTGTTGCCAGCAGAGAGTTGTCTACATCCCATTTAAGCTCAGTACAGATCTCTTCATAAAATGGAGCCATATCTACCGCAAAATTATTGGAAAATTCAACAAAATCTGCCCTGAAGCTAATTCAGTTAATAGAATCATTTGTAGCAGAGTAGAAAAAAGAGAAAATCAGTAATTATTTATTTTAAGTTATTTCCCAGTCAAGGTCTGTCCGTCTGGGGAAAGCTGTACCCTTGGTCCTGCAAACAGCCCTCTGTCTTTGGTCTTGGGAGGGCAACTACAACATACTCTGAATTCTAACTGCTCATTTGCCTAATCATATGTAGCACATGTAACGTTTGCAATGTCCAATAGACTCTTATTGATCTTGTTTAGTTTCGGGATCAGTGTATTCCGCACGCGGTAACAAAAATCGGCATCCACATAAGTTTGAGAGAAACAGCAAACTTTAGGCTGGATTAATCTTAGTACAATTGAAACAAACAAATTATTGGCACAACAATCAAAAAGTAGAGTAAAGTCTATAAATCTAGATGGCATGTCATCTCATGACTAAGCAGAAACATGAATCAAACTCTAGAGAGCTTACCATTTTCTTTCATGGCTTCCAAAAGCTTTCTCTTAGCTTCTTCTTTGCTTTTTCCATCAGGATTCGTTAAAGTAAAGCGCCATGCTGCTATTTCAAGGTTTGGATTCTTTGGTAGACCCTCTTCTTCTAGATTTTCGACCGGCATTTCAATGGAAAAGAGTTTGAAAAAAATGTGTTTCTAATCTTTTGACGAATGATTACTAGCCTCGCTTGAAATGCTGAGCGGCCTGGCACAAAATAATCAAATAAACTGCCAGGGTGGGGTGAGAAAGGTCGTAGTAGACTTTTTAAGATAAAAAACTCCCCTCTTCCAAAACATTTTCCCAATTTAAGGTGATCTTTGAATATTTTACTAAATATTGAGAGTTTTAATACAAATGAGGTGGAATAAGCCAGTTTGGGGTCAAAAGATCAGAAATCTGGTTTACGCCAAACAATTTTAGATGTAATTTTCTCCTTATTCTAGCAGATGAACTTAATGATAAAAAGTCAATGGAGTCAGAATGCTGAATTCTTATTCATGAGATTCTTTTCAACATTTTTTGAATTTCCTTCTAGTCCCCTCTCTACCTACGGTCGAGGCCTGCATTGCACTTTTTTTCCCCGCCAAAAAGGTCACTGCTTACAGCAGGTGACGTGTGATGTGCTTGCAGATAAGATAAACGGAAAAATTTGCATTAATGCATCACCAATGAGTTGTTTTGTACACATTAAGCGCTTTAACACGCTCTACTAAGCTAGCTGTGGTTATGATTTGTTGTTATTTCACCCAAAGCACTGATCGCTGTAGCTTTTGCTCAAGTTAGTTACCGAACTAAAGCGCGAAATGGCCAACCTGCAAGTTATTTCTGAGGAGGGTTCTTTCAAAAATGCTGATAGACAGAAAATTTTCACCAAATATTGGAAACCCAGTGAGAGGAAACCGAGGTTAGAGGGAATAAATTTGTATATTAGCTTCTAATAATGATGTTGAGTTGTTAACCATCTTTTGTGGTGCAACAAAAAGGTCATTTTTTTTTTCAATGACGGCCGGTACATTTCTGTTTATTTAAAACCGGATTTGTTTCGCCGTAAGCTTTGATCTGAAGCAAGTGTTTCAACAAACTCGCCTGACCCCCTTGTTCGCTATGCAGCATAATGGTCGTGGAAAAAATTCCGCCTTTCAATAAGATGCGTGCGTCATGCTAAATAGAATTTTAAAAAAAAAAAAACACTTATAAAAATTAAATAAGTTTTCAATTTAGTTTCTTAAGTGTCCCTAACCGGCCCTCAATCGTCACTCCTCTCTAGCGATGCTTCCAACATGCAATGACCTCTCACGTTATGTTTCAAAGCAAACATTAGAATCAACTTTGCGATTTCGATCACACTATAGTGTGATTAATATATTTTACAGTCAAGTAGTTTCATAAATTCTGAAACGAATAACCACCCGGAAATTCTTCGCAAGTGTTGCTTTCTGTTAGCATGATACGTACGAGCAACAAGTGCTCTACATGCAAATTTCACACCCGAGGTGTCCACGAAGTTATTTATTAATACAACAATTGTAAATTTAAGGAATACAAACGCGTTGACTTTGACAAAGATACGCTATCTCCGAAATAAACATAAATAATTTTTGGCTTGCGATGGTTTCGCAATGGTTCTCGTGACGAATGACGTCTTGCTTAGTTTCACCCATTTAAAATTGGTTAACATAAATAAACATTGGGGAATGGAAATGAGATACACAGTAAAATGTGAAACATTTCACGGATCTGAGCTTCATCATCGACTTGTGTATCAGCCGAAAAAAAAAAAATAATAAAAATTAAAAATTGTAACACAATGTACTTTTTTATCTATACAGGGCATTGATTTTCATCTGTCATGGACTTGGAGAGCACTGTTCTCGTTATGAAAGACTGGGAAAAGCTTTGGCAGAGCAAGGTTATCTGGCTTTTAGTCATGATCATGGTATGGTAAAATAAGCTAGATATCTTTTCTTGTGGTATGACATTATATGCAAGATATCTCTTTTCCTATCTCTTGTTGTACTTACAAAAAAATTAATTTGCAACCAAGAAAAGATGGCTAGATGTTTACCCAAATCCATCTTTGCAAATTGAAAATTCATATAAGTCCATGAGAAATGATAAAGGGAGGGAGTCAAATTCTTGCTATCTTTGCCATGAACGCCCTAACATCAGTATGCATATTCTCCATACTGTTCTCTATACATTTCCTGTGGTAATGACGGGGAGAATCTGTTGAACAATCAATAGCCTCTTTAGTTGGTGATCATTTCCTTCATTCTTGTGACCTCATTGTGTGCTACAGGGGTGATATTGTGAGGAGAAATTAGATTCTAGTCAATTTTAGGGGTTAACAATCAGTACTAGATCTGTTGGACCGGTATAAAAAATTTTATTAAAAAAATCCAAATATTCCTTTTTAGTTGGCCATGGCCATAGTGATGGAGAGAGAGTCCAAATCTCTAATTTTAACCGCTACATCAGAGACGTCTTTCAACACATTGATCAAGTTACAGCAACCCACTCTGGAATACCTGTGTTTATCTTTGGGCACTCTATGGTAAGTATATACTAAAATGGTTATGGTTTTTAAGATCTTGTACACCAGACAATGCTTTTGAATTATTTGTTTGGATAAAATTTGTAATTATTTTGTCTGTATCTGTGAACAAATTTTGTTTTGAATTCTTGCCTTTCTATTCAGGGAGGAACAATTGCCATTCAGTCTGTTTTGGAAAGACCTGATTTCTTCACTGGTGCAGTTTTCAGTGGACCAAGTGTAAAGGCAGATCCAGCTGTGGTAACTACATGTTTGGTGAGAGAGAGTTCATAGAACTGTAAATAACTAGTCTTTCCACCATTGGCTTCAAGTTGCTGTGGGTAAAAAAAAACTAGCATTGTCTTGACAGATAAACTTGGATTATAAGTATTTATGTTTTAAACAATTGGCCATATGGTTTGTTGGAGAAGATTGATATTATTATATGGTAGGTCAAAATTGAGTGACTTCATGAGTTTGATTAGTGATCAACATCTCTGGGTTAATTATTATGAGCCTGGAATAATGCCATTTACGTTTTGTACTGTAGGTTTTACTGGGTAAAATAGCAGCATGGATTGCACCATCGTTTCAGGTTCTGCCGCCAATTGATCCCTCAGTAATAAGTCGTAACCCTGGAGAGGTGGGTGAACACACAATTATATCTGCTTCAGAGTACCAGATATGATATTGTTTTTACTTAGCAGTAATTATTATAAGAAAAAAAATTACTGCTGCAGCAATAATTACATGACTGAGCAAATATTAAATTGAAGTGGATTAATGAATTTGAACTTAATATTAATATTAATTAATAAAAAGATATTAATATTAAATTTAAGTGGATTAATTAATTTGGACTTATTGTACTGAATGTAATCAGTGGTATTGATTACCAGTAAAACTTTCATATTCTAATCAGGTTAAAAAATATGCAGATGATCCACTCAACTGGCACGGTGGATTAAAAGCAAGATGGGCCAATGCCATTCTAAATGCTATGGATGACATTCAGAAAAATATTTCTGCACTTAAGACACCATTTTTTGTTGCCCATGGTGATGATGATCAACTGGTTAAGATTGACAGTTCGATATTTCTACATGAGAATTCTCCCAGTAAAGACAAGACATTCAAGGTAACAGCCTGAGGGTCTTTCTTATCAAGGGAATAGGGACACTTCAAAATGTCTGAATGATGAGTGGCTTAGGTTTCACTTTCTATACTCTCCTCTATAAATGTCCATTGGTGCTGGCAAGGAGAAATTGTTTAATAATCAAAGCCTCTAAGATTGGCAATCATCTTCTTTATTCTCTTGATCTTAAAGAATGATTCAACAGTATTGGTCTGTAAAGAAAATTTGACACTGGTCACTCCTACAATTTAACGCTTTAACTCTCAGATTTTGATTGTGAATCCTCCCCTCTAACTGCTACACATTTCCTTATAAATTAGTTACAAGAATCTGGTGTTAGATCAAGATAACAACTTCTACCTGATAGGTTAGAGTATTCTCATTACCTGTTTGCTGGATAATGTACTGATGTTTTATGGAGAAGTTACATGTTAATCACTTCTGGGAGTTGAATGGTTAAGGGGTGTTATGGGATGTCTACCCTCATGTAACTTTGCAAGCTGATCTGAACATGGACAACCTGTGATCTGTTACTCCAGTAACTAATAATTCAAAGTTATAACTTTTTTTTAACTGTTAGCTTGCAACTTCTCTCCAATTCTTAGATTTTCAAAGATTGCCGACATGAGATTCTAAATGAACTGGAAGAAAGCGCAGCTTCATTCCTGAAAGACATTCTAGACTGGATTGAACAAAGATTACCTGTAGTTTTACAGATTTAATAAATTTGATATCAGTGCTGATAGTAATAGTCAAGCTAGCACAACATGCTAATTGATTATAACAAACACTGGAAACAATATTTTTATTCATTCAGATTAAGTGAGGTCTTATATACAAACTTTGTCTTTTTCAATATTTGCCAACTCAACAAGGTGTAAAAGTTTTAAATGAATTATAATTTTGTGACCAATTTAGCAGCTTAACTTAAAGTTGAATGCATTTCAAATGGGGAATAAATCCTACAATGTGGTACTTAAGCACAGCTATTGAATAACGTCAACGTATTACAATAATATATCATTAATGTTCACTACTTGTCTATACAAATAGTAACAGACTGTGAGTGGCTTGTTGAAACAACGACATTCTCCAGTGAAGATGTTTTAATTACAGACCTTAAGGAAGTTTCTCAGACAAAAATGCAGTCACATTTACAGTGCATAACTTGAACAAAACAATTATATACAGCCCTGGTGTATCAAGGTTTCTCACTTATGGGGTATAAAGTTATACTACAAATCCTGTATTTGGATTCAAACTGAAAAAATATTTATGAATCTCATCCATAACTGCAATGGGTGGTGAAAACAGAAGTCTCCAATTTTATTCAAGTGTTACGACCTAGTACCCATTTACACTCCTAAAGTGGTAAATGACACCTCAGTTTACAATGCAATATGTTAGTGCTGAATAGCCTGATATGTACCACACAGACTAAGACAATTAAAATTATGCAGTAAGACTGCATAAAATAGTAATATTGTAAGTTAGCCTCTGACTTTGCAACTTTACTAAATGACAGTTGATTATTAATAAATGACTTTGCCATCAAAAGATAAATTTTCCATTGATAATATTGCTCAGCCCCTGACCAAAATTAGATCTTTGACCTCATAAACATTCAAATCAGAGGAGTATGTAAGACAATTCATCCACCAGTATTTTCTACAGCTACACATATGTCCACTGTCCACACCAATTCCCATAAATAATACACTGCCTGAAAACAACCCTTTTTGAAAGTGCCTTTCAAACCAGGAGAAATTTGAAAATGGGAATCTTATTTCCACAGAGAGGGATGCATTCTGAATTTTTGCACTTAGCTCTCCATCAAACTCATTAATTAAGGGAGAAGAAAAACACCAAGATTTCTTAGAATTCTTTCAGTTGACCATTACACCTATGATACAAAACAAGGCTTGATAAAAGTAATTGATTTGATAGTTACAGTATCCATTTGTGAAGAAGCTAGACTACAAACTGACGAATCCTGCAAAAGTACATTCATGTAAAAGCACACCTACAATTCACTATAGCTGATCACACTACTTCAAGTGCCTGTTTTTTTTGGCAAGTTGTTAACAAGCCTGTTGCATTTTTTGAACACATTCTACAGTAATTTGCAACCAATCTTTCAATATTAAAAAATTAAGGGTGTGGGTAGGATTGTCCACACCTGCTAAGATAGTCACACTTGCATCCCATAGGACATGTGAGAATGCCTCGTTCAATCATTCTCTGGAATGGAAAAAATTACAAGAATTACATTATTATCATGACAAATTCAATGATTTCCAATGCTGCAGACTTTTAACAGAATGAAGAAAAAAGAGATAAAACTAGACTCATCCTGGTCTGTTTCTGTCTTACATTGAAAACACATTTCATAGACCAATGACAACAATGACTGACCTTTCTTGTACATGCAAATAACTTTCAATTGATTTAAATCTCCAATTGAAAGCCCCTTTAAATTAGGCTAATCCATCAAAGACTTCCCAAGGCAAACTATCAATGACAGACGCATGCACACGCATAGGCACACACACACACACACACGCACACACACATGCAGGCACACATGCATGCACGCACACATGAATGCATGCACACACACACACACATGAACAAACAAAACATTGACAGACCTTATGTTGACTATCAACTCTCATCTGAAACTCTGGGCTGTCCGGTTTCAAGTCTGCCTGGTAATTCCAAAAAGAGCCAGCACCAACAATAGCTCTAGGCCAAATCTGAAAAAAATAATCAAACATTTAATTTAATTAATATTTAAAACGATCTTAGTTACCAATAGTTTGAAGAGCAACGTGGCCAATATAGATCCCCCATTGTCTAGTGAAAGAGCATCAAAAGTGCTCATTGGTGCTTCATTCTGCAGAACTTTGCTGACTCAAACTCAACTAACTTGCATGTCTCACCAACCTGAACTCAAAGTTTTTTTCCTTTCAGTCATTTTACTATCAGCTAACAACAGATCTGAAATTTTTGTAATTTGAATCTGCAGGTTTCTATAATGCAGTTTTAAGACCTGTTGTGGCAGGACACACAGTGACATGCGTGGCAGGACACACAGTGACATGCGTGGCAGGACACACAGTGACATGCATGGCAGGACACACAGTGACATGCGTGGTAGGACACACAGTGACATGTGTGGCAGGACACACAGTGACATGCGTGGCAGGACACACAGTGACATGCGTGGCAGGACACACAGTGAAATGCAAAAAACATCCTGGGAGGTTATTTAGATGGGACTAGCATCACATTCATTGGGATTTCGAAATAAATGTTCTTGAACACTTCATAAAATT